CCAGCGAGCACAATGGACTCCAAGGGCACCACAGGCATCCACCAGACATTATTTCAAAGCCCTCTGGGAAAGGCTATGTGTCCATGGGGTCACTGCATGGTCAGTAGGAGTAGACTCACCACAGTCCTCTGCCTCTCTGCCCCGGCCACTGTGCACCCAACTAAACAAGGGTTGTAGTGGGCAACCCAGAGTAGCTGTGTGGTGCTCAAATGAAGGATGATGAGGTGGTCCTTCTTCTCTTTCCCCACATCTGAGTTTCAACAGTGTTGTCAGCAGTTCTCAGAGGAGATCAGGTCCTGTAATGCAAGGAGAGACAAGACCCAAAAAACCTGTCAGGAGACTCTGAGCATCATCTTTTCCCACTGAGATCTTCCTAGTAGTATCATTATTACCTCTGTGTCCCAGCCCATCACACTGGACATACAGTCACTGATTGTAATGAGTCTCTTGCTCTTGTAGGCACCAAGAGAAAAATCTTCAGATTCTCTTCAAGCCCCAAAGAAGCCCATCAAGAAACTTTGCCCCCATAATCGATTCCCAGAAGCTCAGCTTGGCAGCCGGGACCCGGCCCCATAGAGGCAGCAATAGGGAAGGTGCCTGGTTCCCGTTGGGATTATCCCTGATGGTTTTGTGCTGTAAAGAGGCAGAGAAAAGGGATAGAAAGAGGAGAAGAGAACAGAGAAGGGACCACAGAGTAGGAGCACAGACCGTGGTGTCCCCCAGGTTCAGCTGCAGGCTGGGACCAAGGGACTCTGGGCTGCCCTGCTGCCTTCTCCCTGCATAGCCTGTGCTGTTGGAGACAGGCTCCAAGCCAGGGTTTGTCTGGTGAAGGAGTGGTGGAGAGAGGGTGACACGGTGTGGAGAGACTGGGGATTTTCAAGGCATCGTTTGGCTTCTGCTAGATCTCCCCCATCCTTTTTTTGTCAGGCGTTTCCTACAGTTGTGCTTTACTGGAAGACAGGAGTAGGGGCAGAGTTGCCTGGACATCCCAAAGTGTCCAGGCAGGGGATTACCTGTCCTTCTCCAAGCCCTTTCCTGATCACATGTGTTCCTGATCTCTGGTCTAAGCAGAGACTGGAGGAGAGGTAGGGGACAGTGGGTCCCATCTCCTTTTGCAGCAGGGACACACTGACATTTCTGTTCCCATCATAAACGAGTGACCCCAGGGTTTTCACCCAAAATGCGCTGTCAATTGGGCAATTTTTTGTCAGATAATCCACTTTTTTAATAAAAGAAACCCCTCAGATAAGCCAAGGAAATTTAAATAAAAGTTGGCCCAACATCCCCAGGGGGTGCAGCTTGGGCAGCCTGCACCGCTCCACCAGTGCAGGGAAGGGGAGATCCAGGGGTCCTAACAGAGATGGAGTGGGGGTCCCAGCAGCCCCCCACAGTGGGGATGTGGGATGAGGGTAACACACACAGAGAGAGAATTTCAAGTCCCAGCATCTTGCCATGCCAAACCCTTCCCTGCCTGGCGGCAGCGTTATGTGTTTAGATGACAAATTATTACCCTTTTGGCACAAAAATCCTGGTCTTGTCCCTGCTCACCTGTGTGTGCAGGGAAGGGACTGTGACCCATGGACAGGGGAGCTGGGGAGGGTGGGACTGGAGGCACTGGCTTGGCTGGTAGACATTTGTGCTTCTCATGACCAGACAGCTTCTATGTACTGAAATATTGTTCTTCTATAGCGACACTGAGCGGTTTTTGTCCCCTTTAGGGTTTTATTCACAACGGAGGCTGCTGCTATTTTTATTTTTTTGTATTTGATAATTATTTTTTATAAAAATCTATGAAAAATAAATAATCTTCTCATCCTCCATCTCTCTTGTCTCCTTGATTCACCCAAAAGGGGGCCGGGGAGGTGGTTTGGCTGCTCCCAGCACCTTCGGTCCCACATGCTTTTCCTCTGCCCCAAACTATGGACTCACCCAGAGCTGTCCCAGCCCAGCAGAAGGTATCCTTTGGGTTTTTGGTTGGAGGGGGACACTCACCTCCAATGCCCCCCACAATTCAAGGCTGCCACCCAGGCAGCTTTTGCTGTGCCACCAGGTGCAAGAACACTTTTGCAGAAAGTCTTCTGCTGGTTATGCTACAAACTGGTCCAAGGTTGATCAGTTTTTGTAATTAATCCACTTTAAGTGTAGGGAAAAGTGTGTGTGTGTGGGTGTGTGTGTGTGTGTGTGTGTGTGTGTGTATGTTCACACACCACCTCCCTGGGGATGGGGAGCAGAGGGTGGCTCACACTGAGCCAGAGGGCCATGCCATGTGACATCCTGGCAAGAGAGTTAAAAACAAAGACAATCAAAAAAATTAATTAAAGATTTGGGAATTTTTTTTTTTTTTTTTTTTGGTAAGTAACCAGATAAACTTCGTACATATTGACTGGGAAACACCAAAAAGCCCTTGTCCTGTGTTTTAACCTTGCTCTTCTTCCATCCATCTCTGATGGTCATGTGCACCCCTTTGCTCCTCACCGGCCTCCTCTTTATGTCTGGTCTTTGCATGGACTTTCTCATCACTCCTAGAGGAGGAACAGCATCTCCTGGTGACACTGAATGTCCTCTCTAGGGCAAAGCTCCCCAAATCATGCGTTTTGAGGAGCCAGATTTGCTGCTATGAAGGAGAGAGCACATTAAGGGGTCCCCCACAGCCCCAAGCAAACAAGGACCCCACTTGTGGGTCTTGCATATAAAACATAAAGAGCAGCTGTCTGTGGCAGTAGCCAAGTGAAGAGCTGCTTTCCCATCCTGTCCCTCCTTTCTTTTCCTCCTCCTCCTCCTCATGTCTCATTCCACAGCCACAGGTTATTGTGCGACGGAAATTAGCAGAAGGAAAGTATTGGGTGTATTTTTAGCTTATTTTCCTGCATTTTAGCAGCAGGAAGAGAAAAAAAAATAAAAATCAAGTTGTTCCATGAGACTTAATGAAGTCTGGTTTCCTATGGGTTTGTGTGCTATAGCCCCTAAATTCCCACTCTCCTGTGTCCTCCCAGGCATCCTGTCTGCCTGCCTGCAGTAATCCCTGGCCCTCCCCAGGTCTCCCAACCCATCTGGCAGGGCAGGTGGGAATACACATTAGGCTTGGCCAAGGGACCAGCCCTTTTAAGTCCTGGTGGCCTGAGCATTAGACACAACACTGCACTATGAGTGGCTTTTAAGGCATCCTTTGCAGCTCTCATCTCTGTTCAGGCACTGGTTTTCACATCATTTGAAGGATGTCAATATTCATGATGCTCCTAGTCCTCTGTAAAAAGTCTGCCAGGTGGACCAGGATGTTCTTGGGGGGGGTGGTTGACCACCAGACAGCACCATCCCATCTGCCTTCTGTACTAAAAAAACAACTAAAAGAAGCTTCTTTGGACTCTGCTTCCAAATTCCCAGCCCCTGTGGAGGTCTGCAGACTGAGACACCCTTGCCAAGGATGTGTAAATGCATTTTTCCCCCCCAAAACCCAAAGGTGCCTGCAGACATCCACACCTTGCCATGCCTGGCAGAGCAGGTGGGCAAGGCGAGGAGCAGGACACGGCTCCGTCTGTGTGTGCTGAGTGCTTTGGGACTTGGCTAACCCAGTGGGCAGACAGGCTAATGCTAAACTTGTGTGAAGACTCACCCAAGTTCAAAGGCTGGGAGTGTTTCATCCGTGACCAAAAGATGACATCAACAGGACCAAAACTATAAACAAACACTCCAGTTTGCCAGAGCCAGGGATTACTAATAGCTCCATTTAATAGTCAGTTAAATTATCATCTGGAGTTTTACATAGTGTTACAATGATTTTTATTTTTTTTTTGTTGCTGTTGTTTAAAACCTCTTTCTTCTTTTCTTTTTTTTTTTTTTAAGGTAATCTGGAAGGGTTTTGTGTTTCTTGCCACATGGCTATCTCACCCTAAAGCACCCTACTTTCAATCTACAGTAGTAAAACGTCACATCAGAGTTTTAATAGAACATCAAGGAACATGAACTGTAGCCATCTTTGTAAAGAAAAGGACCAAACCATCTTTATATGTTAAATAACTCCACGACAAGTAAAAGGTAGTAATGCTATTACAGGGGTACGGACGTAGCAAAGAAAAGGAAACGACCCAGAGGTTCATCTCAGGTGAATGATCGCTCATTAATTCAGAAATAAAACATAAAGGGAGGGCAGGGGGGCAAAAGGAGGTTGCAGAAATGAATGGAAAACAGTGCCTTATCCAGTTCTCATGTTGCTGGCAGCATAGGAAGAATCAGGAGTCCAAGAGAGAAAATATTGTGCAGACCCAACCGTAGGACCCCGTGCCAGATGTTGACAGTGTCAGCTCTGCAGGGAATCACAGAATCATATAATGGTTTGGTTTGGAAGGGACCTTAAAAATCACGTATTTCCAACCCACCGCAATGGGCAGGGACACCTTTCACTAGACCAGGGCACACCTGTTTTGGGTGAGCAAGCCCCACACAACTCATCTCACCAAGGCCAGGTCTACAGCCATGGTGCAACCCCCTGCTCCGGTCTGGGCCCCCGTGGCAGGCTGCTGGCATTTGTCTGAGATGGGCTCGTGTGTCAGTGGAGAGAGTTTGGCAAGAAAATCCAAGTTTGGGCAAAATTCTGACTGGCAAAGCCAGAGTGAGGAAACCAAGAGGAAAGCCTTCCCAAAGCCAGGGTAAGTGAGTGGCCCCACAGATGTGCCACCCTGGCAGGACCTGCCGGCACAGCGGCTGCAGGGACACCACGGCGGTCCAGGAAGAGCACAGCCCTACCAGCAGACTGTGCTGTCCATAACGGGATGGGGATGCTGAGCCCCACCCAGCCATGCAAGGGGTGATGCCAAAGAATCTCAGAGGGGTGGCTTTCCCCTCGCCCTCCATATCCCAACCCATGGGGAACTGGGGCCGAGGGAGCAGAGTCCAGCCCAGCCAGCTGATGATGTTGCAGGGTGTCGGTCGCCCATGCAAGGGCTTTGAAGTGTCAGCACAGGAGCAGAACAGAAATCTCTGCAGAGCCTCAGTGCAAATCTTGGGGCCAGATGAAAAAGTAACCTAGGCAGGTGTGAACACATGGGATGTCCAGGGTTTTCCTGGCAGCGTCGCAGCGAGTGGCTGGCACATGGCACTGCTCCCGTCCCTGCTGCTGCACCTAGTAAGCAATAAAAGAAAGGAGTCTGCTACTCAAAGAAAAACAGTCTGTGTTTCATATAAAGGCCGTATATGCGGTATTACTTGGCGAGAAACCAACCGGCATCAGGGCCAGAGCAGCCTTCGCTCAAGCATCCCACCGAGGCCTTGGGCGGAGGTGCCCTTTGCCCAACCCTGGACAGCTGCTTGGTTGGAAGTTAAAAGTTGTCCCAGTATATGCTGGGATAAGCGAAAGGATAAACTGAGGTGTCTGGGCCAAGAGTCTCGGCGGCTGAAAGGAAAAGGAGCGGCGGCTCAGTACGGATCACCTGCCTGTATGTATCTGTGCATGGAGGTGGTGCTGGTCTTGCTCTGAGCCCCAAGTCCTTGGCAGCATCAGGCACATCAAAATATAAGGACAAACATGAGAAAAAGCCAAAAGGATCCAGCAGACTTTTTTCTTGCACACAGCAGGCGCTTGCCTGACGACCCCTGCTAGACACATTCATTACAGCAATGACACGGGGATGCCCAGGTAACACTGACTGCTGGTGGCTGCTCCCAGCAGCTCCCCAGTCCAGGCCAGCTGCCCCTGGAGAGAGGTCTGTCCACTAAAAGGGAAGAGAAAAGCACGGTGTGGTCCTGCAGGGAGATACTGTTGTTGAGAAAGCGCTGCGATACAGCGCTGTGGGCTGCGACCGGCGGCAGAGCACAGCCAGCCTCCCTCTCAGCACCACGCAAATATTCGAACCATGTCCTTGGCAGGTAGGAGGAGGAATGAGGCAGAAAATTGTATGAGACAGGCTGAAGACTGCTCCTGCCAAGACTGAAAAAAAATTAAAAGGAAATTTCTCTCTGAAGAGGCATCGTAAAAATCCCACTGTAGGGCTACGGGCTTGTCCAGATCAAAGGTGCGCAGCTGGCAAGTCCAGAGGCGCCTCCTCTGCAAACCGGGCTGGAAGCTGAAGCTGAAAGGAAGCTGTTTTCTGCCTCCAACACCATCAGCAGTGACAGGGTTTTGGAGAACAGTTTGCTCCGAACCAAGCCCGGTGTCCCAGTACAACCCTAGCTCTCTGGTTTTAAAAAAAAAAAAGCCACCGAGAGCTGCAGATGTGAGCCCGAACACAGGCAAGCAATACCCCCAGAAGCCTGCCCGCCATGCCTTCCAGGACCATCCTGAACCACCGTGTTGGGGTACCCTGCACTTCTCTCCCTTCCCCATGCAGAGCCTGGGCTACACCACAGTTATATTGGCTGGTGCAGATGGCCACCCTGTCCATACCATCTGGCTGCTGCTCTCCTGGCTGGGCCACTCCACAGCGGCAGTTTGACATTGCTTCGAAGTCTTTATTATGGTGGGTAAAAAAAGAACAAAAAGTAACGGAGGGGATTTTAAAGTTGACTTCCTAGGAACGTGGTCACACAAGAAGAAAGCTTGTGATGTCCAGCTGACCACCGGCCCTGAGGCCAAGCTGCCTTTGTTCTGGAGGACTCTGCATCTTGGAGCACACGTGGGCTTTGACCATGGCACAGAACCTGAGGAGATGGGCTCACCAAGGCCCCTCTCTCCTCACCCCAGACGGTGACACCGCGCCAGCCCTGCCCGCCAATGACACCATCACTTGGCCATGTCTCATCCAGACCTCATGCTTCACAGCTGCAAAAAACCCCATCCCAGCCCTGTTGGCCATCCAGTGGCTGTTTAGCTCAGCCATAACCATAAGCATCTCCACCTGACCTGCATGCCCTGCTTCCATTTTCCCAACCCTGCATCACCTGCTCTCCCATCCTGGTTGTGTCACTGTGTTTCTCTCATGACTGGTGTCCCCCACCCTTGGGGACAGTCCCCACAGCCAGGGCAGGAATGGGGCAGGAGGAGAGGGCTGTGCCCTCCCAACCTGCCCTCTCCACCAGTGCTGAGGAACCTCTTGGCAAAATGAATAAAACAAAACCAAGAAAACTGGGTCCCACAAGACTTCTAACTAGAAAGGCTTTTGCCCAAGTCAAAGAAGAAACTAATACTGAGTCAGTCCTGCACAGAGCAGTCGGTTTTGCTCCCCAGTCCAAATTTTTGCCTCCAGAAACATCAGTGACACCCTCCCCCTCCACGGGTCCACGTGTAAAACCCTCACAAACGCCCGTGGGAAGGCCAGCGTGAGAGCGGGCGCCCGCGACCCTCAGTAGTCCTTGTCCCCATAGTCATTGTAAAGGACACTCAGCGTCTGCTCCTCGCACGTCTTCTTGAGGTCCCGGCTGAGCTCCGACCAGTCGAGCCCATAGGGCTTGATCTCGCTGTAGCGGCAGGCGAGGTACTTGAGGGATGAGCGCTGGAGGCTGATCTTGGGCTCCTGCAGGAGGCCATTGCACCAGCTGCTGAGGTCCCCCAGCTGAGAGAGGATGAGGCCGGCCTTCCTGCAGCGAGGGCGGGCAAGGGGAGATGCCAGGGGGACGATGGACAGCGAGTGGGTGGCGGGAGGGATGGAGACACCACGGAGGGGGATGGCGGGATGGGCAGCAGGAGTGTGTGAGGAGAGAAAAGTAAAGACAGTTAAGGACATGATGGGAGCTTCTTGAGAGAGAAGAGAGAACTCCAGAGCAGGTGAGCGGAGGCTGACGCTGCCAGGATGAGGAGGGGTGGCAGGGCTGCAGGAACACACCATCCCCAAGGCAGCACTGCAAACTAAATGCATGTGAGAACAGCCTCTAACCAGGGCAGAGATGCCCATGTCACCACAGTGGTGCTGGACCCGCTGCACTGGGACTCCCCTCACATTTCCCTGTCCTGTCCCCTCTTCTTGTTTCACCTGTGCAACAAGGCCGGGTTTGCTGAGTGTTGAGTGAGGAGACAGTCACAGGTGTAGCTGTGAAACCCCCTTTGGGGTGGACATCACCAGTGACTCAAATGGCAACACCTGTCCCTGCTGCAGCTACTGGACCCTAAACACAACAGGATGGGAAACTGGGAGCCAACAGCACTGCAAGCAGTGGGGACAAAGGCTAAAAAGTGTCAGGCATGACACATAGAGCCAGCCCAGACCAGAGTCACCACATGTCACCATGAAGTACATGTGTTGCATGTTTGAGAACTATGCCGGTCATTCATGACTTGGTGTAGCACATAGAATCACAGAAAGGTTTGGGTTGGAAGGAACCTAAAAGATTATCTCATTCCACTCCCCCTGCCATGGGGGCAGGGACACCTTCCACTAGACCAGGTTACTCCAAGCCCCATCCAACCTGGCCTTGAGCATTTCCAGGAGTGGGGCATCTACAGCTTCTCCAGTGCCAGAAATGAGCAGTCCCAATTGGACCACTGAGGATGAAGGAGATTTAAGAAATAAAAAACCCCAAATCACAATTTCATGCCTGGCTTGTGGGGGATCTGTATGGAAGCTGAAAGTGAGATAAAAACTATGATCCTCGTAAGATGCAATATCACAAGGCATAAGTGCAGTGAACAACACTCCTGGTACATGACTTGTAATGTTTAGTAACATTTTGGGAAACATGTCCCACAGGACAGTGTGCAAACTAGAAGGGATATACTGAGGTATACATCAAACACGGGTTTAATCCAAAAAGCTCTGAGAGAGCAGAGGATGTGGCAGAACTCCCCACTTCTTTGTACATGCATTTTGCATCTTCCAATTGCAGAGAGCAAATCAAGGAAAGACAAGTCACAGTAGTAGCACTTCCTGAAAAGCTGCAACCCAGCCAGGAGACAAGGTCGAGTGACAGAGGGAGAGCAGGTCCAAGATTAATCCATCTTCTGCAGCAGACATACAGCACCCCCAGGGCAACACGGCCTCAGTGCAGGCTTGTTCTGGTGGTGAGAAAGTGCTAAACTACCAACCTCTCGTGTTAGATGAGATATTGGAAGAGCTCAGAGGATCCCGGCCAAATATGACCTAAACTGTGTTCTCTTCAAATTTTTCCTCTTAAAATTGTGCTTCTAATGGTTTTATGAAGAAAATCAGTTTGTACAGATAAAACACATTATGTTCATTTTAAACTTGTCTAGCACTTTGGGTGATCTCCAGGGATTCTGGCAAATGTGGAGGTAATGGATTCAAATGAAGTGTCTTGAAGGTGAGTATCTTGTGCCTGGAAACCCAGACAAAAGTTTAAGTGTCTGAAGAGCTGGGATAAGTTTCCTATGCAGCTTCAAGGTCAGTTGGTGGGTTGGTACAGTCAAAGAAGAGAGGATACATCCCCTTGGTAGCTTTAACTCAGCATATGCTCAGCACAGAACAGGCAGTGGGGGCACAAATCATGATGCTGGAGAAAAGAATCCCTCCTTGCCACATTCTTACTTGGATAAGCAGGGGTGGTGTGTGGAGCACACAGCTGTGTTGTGCCTGGTTTGACAGCTCAAGGGCACGTTTACCAACCATGAAGGAATATCCACAGCCCCTCCACACCTTCCTCCAGGCAGGGTACACTGTGGGAGAGCTGCTTAGAGAGGATTTAATTGACCTCAAGTCCAGCCAGAGCCAACCTCAGCTTTCCTGGAGAGAAAACTCCACATAGATGTGGCTGCAGCTCCAAGGGGCCAGTCTGGAGCCACTGAGTGGTTTTCCAGCTCTGCAGCCACCTGACAGTTGCCACCCCAGGGTTCACAACCAGAGCATGGCAGAGAGGAGGAGGTGCTCAGCATGGTGCTGACTCTGGAGACAGGCACCCAAGCTGGTCAGGTCTTCCAGCCATGAGAAGGTACCGAGGTCTCACTGGCCTTGGTCCCTGCATCTGGACACCTAGGCAAGGTGCTACAACTGCCTCTCTTCCTCCAGCATTGCAGGCACCCTCACAGGAATGCCAAATATGATCCCACAGATTTTGGCTTGAAGCCCATAGACACCACATTTCACCAGGCTTTGCTTCAAGTCCAACTTCCACTTATTACTCGTTTTTCTCTCAATTTCCTTTCCTTATGCAAAGTCGAGGGCTCTCCGCAGCCCTTCTCAGACCAGGAGGGAGTGACTCGCTTTCATAACCCCAGACAAGTTATCTGCACTCAGACAAGTCATCTTCCTTCAGTCCAGCAGCCAGCATTGCCAGGAAGGGAGGCAAGTGCACCCCAAATGAGCAAAGCAGGAGATGGGATGGAGGCGCGGAGGAGGGACACGGTAGAGTCAGTCGCGTGGGTCCACATCCAGGACTTCAAAGAAGCATCAGTAACAGTCAAACAAACGCTGTCTGCTGGCTAAATAATGTCATCTGCAAGTGATTTGTCCTGTCACCACCAGTCTGGGTGCTTTGCCTTCGCAGACGATCAAACAGTAGGTCTGCTTTCCAAGATTTGTCATCACCAGAACCCGCTGCAGCTGCCTGAATGTCTCTTTCCAAGTAGTGCGAGCTGCAAACACTTCATCAGCAACTTGCGTCATCCCATCCTCGGCGCTCCAGCATTTCCAGAGGGTGGAATTAACCCTCTTGGCTCGTAGGTTCACGCAGCAAATGGTATCCCTTGGGTAATTCAGTGGCATTCCTGGCTGCTCCATGCCAATGCAGCTCTGCCTCTCGGGGCTCGAGGAGGTGGCTTCCATGCCACGTTCTGGCTGGTGCTCGGTCTCCTCACTGGGGCAGAGAGCAGTGATGGCAAAGCTCAGCCCCAGCGATGGCAGTGGCTGTGTGACAACTCCAGCGTGTCACGTAAGGAATGCTATGTACTCCTTTTGCAAATCATCACAACAGATGTCGGATGGTCTGTGCAAACCAGGGCTGGATTTCACATCTGGAAGCAGAGACAGAGCGGCATCACTGCAGCTGGGCTCGAGACAAAGGTGAGACGTAAGTCCAAGCCTGCTGATCCTACTTGGTGTCATGGGAATGAGGCAACCCTGGGCAGAGGAGCTGGTGGGAGCCTCTGCCTTAACAAGACTCCATGTACTGAGATGTCGCTACTGAGCTTTGAGGCTGAGCTCACATTTCTTAGGACATAAACGGGAAGAGGGGAAAGAGAGAGCCCCCAGCTTTGCTCCAGGGCACGGAGAATCTATCAGGAGTCTCCCACCAAAGCTGAACTAGGAGACATGTCGAAGACATTAAGTGCAAGACAGCCACCAGCTATTTGCTGAGTCTTTCTGACTGGTTAGCAAAGGTCTGGAGCACAAGGAAGGCACTTGGAGGATCTCCAATCCTCTGCTAGAAATCCTGAAGTGATCACCTGGAGAAGCAGGGTTGGAAGACATCTAGTGGTGAGACCAGCAAGAGGAGGTGTGGGGCACAGGGCAAGGTGGAGGCCATGGATTTCATACACGGGAGCTGCTGCTGACGCACATTTGAAGTAACTCTGCAGATGAGCTCACAGCTCTGGTTCTTTGGAGGCCAGATGCTGTGAAAAACCACTGCAGTACACACAATCTCCCAGTCCAGCTTGCTAAACTGACTGGAAACATCTACGTTACTGGGAAACCATGCAGACTAAAGCAGATGTTGAAGGATGTGGGGAGAAGGGAACATCTGGCTGCCTCCACAAGCCTGGGACATGAGGTGTCCCATTCCCATGCAGCTGGAGGGCCTTTAATGACCTGGAGGAGCCCTAGGAGAAGACATGGTGCTCACTCAGGCACAAAAGGACTGTTCCAGCCAGGAAGAGCTCAGGACAATCTCTTCCAAAACCTGCCGTGGCAGCTCAGCACTGCCTGGGCACCAAAAACACTTGTGTCACCCTGTACAACCACAGACTTGAATCAAAAGGGAGGGAACATGTGCAATTCAGACGTAAGGTCAGGCCACTGCCTGCTTTGGATCACAACTGACAGTGAGTTCAGCACACAGAGATGCATGCAACTCAAGCCAAAGCCCAGGAAAAGGGGGAAAGCAGAGTCTCCATCCCTCAAAGGTGCATTATTTTTTTGAGACCTTCTGCCTTTTTGCCTGTGGCATCAACTACCAAGGAGAAAAGAAAATCCCACCTCCTCCCTACTCTGCATAGCATGAACATAGCAGGAAAAACCCCAGAGGCAGGAAAGGGCTGATGGGATGAACAAGGATGTTGGGTTGACAGTGGTCAACCACTTTCCACCTTGTCCTACGTTTATGGTCCTTCAGGGGAGATGACTGGTCTCTGAACACATGCACAGCATCCAGCAAAACAGAAACCCCACTGTGAGACTGTAAGCCCTATCATCTGTCATTAACTCATGAGATCTTTAGAGAGCTGGTCCCGGTGACCAACATCTACAAGGGACAAGCACGTTGGTGGGCAGACCTGCCTGCCTAGTTGACCCAGCTCCTGAGCCTACCTGGGCCCCAGCTCATCTTCACAGCGCCAGGTGAACTCCCCAAAGCTCTCGTAGTGCTGGTTGTAGTGGTAGAGGACTCGGTGGAGGCTGGGGGAGCCCAGGTCCAGCAGAGTGTTGTAGGCTGTCTGCTGCTCCTTGCCGCTCGTGTAGCCGTTGAACAGGTTGTAGATCTTGTCTGCTATTTCTGGGCAGAAAGACAGGGGGTATTCAGTGGGGTGCCAGGAGAGGCGTGAATTAAGCCCACTAGCCTGAAGCTCAGCTCTAGGGAAACCAAGACCAGAACGAAGATTTGTCCCCTGAATTATGATTTACATCATATCAAGGTAAGGTCCCAGTGGAGGAGCAACAGAATAGATGGCATTCCCTGGACTCAGTCCAGGTTAGCTTCCCGCAGTTTGGGCTAATTAGGAAAAGAAATGGGTGGTGCCATCAGGTACTGTTAGTGAAATACCATTCATCCATGTCTGTTTCCAGAGAGGACATGTGCCTCCTGCAGCCCTCCACCCCAACCCTCCACAGCACATGGTAGCTCCTGGGCCACCAGGGGTGAAGGAGATGTTACAGCCAAGACACGAGACAAGTGCAGGGATGTACTGGAAGTGGGAAATCCCTGTTGCTGGTCCCAAGGACCACAGTCCAGCAGCTCCCTCCCTCTCACCTTGAGCTTTCACATCATCTACCACAGGGCAAGGGGTCTTGACCGTCACATCACTGGACCTGGAACGCCTTCCTGTGTTGTCAACTCCCCAGAGTGTGAACCTGTATCGGGAGGAAAAAAATGAAGCTCTGGACTCCCAGGACCTCATGGAAATACAGGCAGCATCAGGTAGGATCACCACAGTGAGGGTGACAGCACTGCCATGGGCATGGCACGGGGGAAGAAACTCACATGTAGGTGGTGTCGGGCTCCAGGCAGCGAATGATGAGGGAGATGGTGGAGGAGAGTCTGTCAGGCACTTGGGCTGGCATGGCACAGGGTGACTTGGCACCGGAGATGATGTCGTCCACGAAGCTCAGCACTGTCTCTAGGGAGAGAGGGGAGGATGTGCCACAGGCAATGACACGGGTGTCCCTGGGACTGTGGAGAGCCACTGAGGTCTGTGCCCACTGACACGCTGCCTGGTGCCCAGAGGGACCAAGGCACGAAGCCTTGGTTGCAGCAGGGTGGGCAGGAGGGGCTGCTGTCTCTTCCACAGGATACTGGATATGTTGCAGCATCCCCTTGCTAAAAGGGAGACTCCTCGAACATCTCCATCCCACTCTCCCCAGAGAGTGCCAGTGTAGTCCCCACTCACCTGTCTCCACCTTGGAGTGGTCCATCCTGTCGGTGACTTTCTCCTGGCGGAGGAGGTAGTCGACAATCTGCACCCCGATGGGGGGCTCTGAGTGCCCCCACTCCAGAACCACCAGTGTGCTGCTGGGCTCGTGAACGGTGGAGAGGTGCAGGCTGGGGGAAAATTTTTGTGTTACTCTCTCACAACAAAAGGGATTCAAAGCCATTAACACATGGGAGACAGCAACTTCAGGAGAGAAGTGACTGCCCCTGCCCTACCCCTCCTGGCTCTGGGAATGCTGGTCCAAAGGATTCCTTCCCTAGGGTTGCTCTACCAGGATGGATCCACAACCAGTTCGCCAGTCCTCAGCTGAATTTAGAAAAGACACTACAGCTCTGTACTCTCTGCTTGTTTTCCAGGTCAACCATCAGCTTGCAAACCTGTCCCATAAAACCACCCAGCCCCACCACCTCCTGCCACCATGCTGTTGGCCATCACCACCTCCTCACAGACCCACCACACCAAAAGGCCAGGCTGGGCACACGTGGAGACCTACATGGGGTGGGGGAGAGGCGCACAGGTGGGCAGCCCGTCAGCCCCGAAGGCACTGGAGTCACAGCGGCACCAGTCCTCGATGACATCCCCGCTGCCTGAGCACCACAGCATGCTCATGGTGGCCTCCTGCAGGAGCTGGGATAGAGAGGAGAGGGTTGAGCATCGGGTAGATGACCTGGTGACCTCCCATCCCACATGAGCCAGCATTCATCCATTCCCCCGGTGGGTTCAGCACAGTGCATTCACCCTGAGAGCAGGGCAGGCCAATGGGCAAGGGCTCCCTCGGCTTGACATGGTGCTATCAGGGCAAGCTGCCTTCAAAGACCACCACAATGCTGTCCTGCCACCCCCCACGCCCACCCCAGCACCCCCAGTACGTGGCTCCTCACCCGCTGGGTCTGGTTGTTGGTGACCAGCTCGTAGAGGGGGGCTGCTTTGGTGACCTCCAGCAGGATGGGCTCGGCTGGCGCGTTCGGGCTGGCGGCGCCGTGCAGAGCGGGCAGCGGAGGAAGGGGCAGCGCCCAGCGGCTCTGGCGCACTCCATCCGCACGCCGGCTGCCATGCGCTTGGTGCCCGACTCGGAGAGGCTGGCAATGTACTCGGGGAAGGTGAGCACCTTGGGGTCCCGCTCGCGCTCCTCTGACTCGTCCGAGGGCGAGTTGCCTGGGGAAGGGGGAAGGGGGAAAACAGAGCGTGGGATCCAAGCCACTGATAAGGGAATGTGAGGGGGCTAGAGCTCTGCCTTCCACCCTGCAGAGAGGCAGCACTGCCCGCAGGTCCCTGTATCCTTGAGAGCTGTTTGCTCTGTAGGGATGAAATGCTCACTGGTCTTCAGAGGAGGAATCAGAACTTAAAAGCCCACCCTGGCCTCTGCCAGGCAGGTCTTTTGGTCTCCCCGCGCCTCAGTTCCCCCAGCCCCATCCCTTCACCTGGCACTGGGAAGGTGGTGGGACAGACCACCCTTGCAGCAGGTGCCCACGAGAGGGAGCCTCCTTCATGTGGCTGGAGACTTGTGAAGGACCTGCCTGGGCACCTTCACCCCACGGTGACGCCCCGCCAAAGCCCTCTGCCAAACCAGTCCCCCGCAAAAGCCCTCCTGGCCCAGCGGCTGATTTCTCCTTTAGATCCCAAGGATCCCCACACAGCTGATGTGACAGGGTGTGTTGGAGGCCAGAGAGGATGACTGTCAGACCAGGGTGCACAGTAATGATGCTGACTTGATTCACACACCCCCCAGCAAAGGCTGGCAGCACTGAAGAGCTCAGAGTGAGGAGGGAAGACATGCCAGTGCCTCATGATGCCCAGAAAGCTCCCAAGGTGGCTACAGACCCACCAAGCTCCTCTCCAGACCCTCCACTTCTCCTACACTTGGTCCCCACACAGGGAAATGGAGATGGGAAGCAGATGCTGCCAACCCTCAGGTTACTGTGAAATGCAACCAGCTCGGAAAAAAAGTTGCAGCAGGAAAGCAGTGCCATGGTTTATGCCTTTCCCAGCTCCACGCAGAGATGCCTGACACTGGGTGCCACTGTGTTCCCAACACACAGGGCAGTGAGCCAGACCCTGCACTCAGTGGGCTTTTCTCCAGCATTCTTATGGCAGGAAATATTTTGGCACCAGGGGAAAATCGTTGGCCCAGAAGTCAAGAAGGGAGGACCTGTCCATCACTGCTGTGCCCTGGGGAGCATCGTCCTGCCGTGGCGAGCCTTGCCATGCTAGGAAACGGCGCTTTTCACACAAAATCCCTGCTAAAGGATATCCCTGGCTTTACACAGAAGAAAGGGGGGCCTAGAGGGGCCACTGAGGATGGTCGGTGGGGGTGGGGGAAGCTGAAGGATGCCCAGGCAAAGCCTCGCCCCTGGAGCAGGCTCAGGCCATCGCTGGTGGTGGTTTGGTACGGGCTGGCTGCTGTGCTGGCTGAGCACATCCATGGCTCAATAGGAAAATCTTCCTATACAGCAAGGATTTGCAGATAAATGGGCCAGCACTAGCCTATCTCTGAGACTCCTGCAAAGGAAACAAGGCTTTTAAACAAAACCTGGATACAAAAGTGTTGCTCTGCTCCCCCAGCAAGCTGGTGATGGATCACTTCGGGTTGGCTGTGGATTGCAGCTTAGCAGGCACTGAGGGAAAGCAGAGGAGCCAGGGAATGATTTGTCTCTTGCAATTTCTCAATCGATATCCAGCTCCTGACTTTGCAAACAAAAAGCAAAGGAGGGAAAGTGGCAGGTGCCAGAGTGAAACTGAAATGTGATATTGTGGGTGGAAAAAGACTGCCAGACCTGAAAAGCCTCCAGGCAGGAAAATCAAAGAGGAGGAAATTGCAGGAGAAAAAAAAGAGAAAGAAGCACTTGCAATCAAAAGATGCTACATCTGGAGACAGCCCACAGCAAAACAGCAATGGGTCTGTACTCTTCCAGGTGGGTTTGGAAAGAAGTCCAGGCTCCAGGAGGTCTGAGCCCGCAGGATCCAGACTCAGGCTTTGAAAGAAGCCCTTCCCACACAAGAGCCCTGGGGAGAAAACAAATGTCCCCGTGGCTGGGGCACAGCAAGGGCAGCACTGTAGGCTGGTGCCAACACTGAGAACTAGGAAGCTTCGTGATGGAAACGATGTTTCGGTCACGGTGCCTGTGAGCTCCGTGCTCACGCTGCCCACACCCCACAGCTCCCCTGCACCGGCAGCAACCGAAGGTCGCCTGAAAAGCAGCAGCTCTGCTCAGAATCCCCTGTGTCCAGGTTTGGGAGCTGGCTCTTGCTTGCTGCCCAAGCCTGGATGTTGCAAAACAATGTCCCCCCACACAGGCAGCATAGCGCCTGCAGGGGGCAATGCAAGAGATCACGGAATCCTAGAATGGTTTGAGTTGGAAGGGACCTTACAGATTATTTCATTCCAACCTCCCTACCATGGGCAGGGACACCTTCCACTGGACCAGGTTGCCGTGGTCCTGGGGACAGGTGGCAGCAGGCAGGCCTTAGGCTGCCTCAGCTTTTGTAAAGCTGGCATCCCAACCAGCCATCAGCTCTTCTACTGGGGATCCATCACAGCTCACTGCAGCGAGGGCACCGGAGGGGATGCAGCAGTGCCAGATGCCCTCTGCACCACAAGGAATCTCCCAGTTCCTACCTGGTTTCCAGGCATTAAAAGCACGGCTCTGACAGCCCAGGAGAAGGGAATACATTAAATGGAGAAAAGTCAGGCTGTGGGATGCAAGTGGAAGAGAGGAGATATGGAGGAGACAAAAGGAAGGAAGGAACAGGATTAAAGACAAACAACAGTTAAGTCCAGAATCAGGCAGGATGGCTTGGTGGGATTAGTGCACTCGTCTTTCATCTCCCTGGGGATGTGGGTATTGATCTTTCTTTATGGCCCAGATCAGTGCCCGCTGCAATCCACGGGAGTCCTTCGCCCGGCTTCCGAGGGTGAGAGAGCAGGGTGTGAATAACGTGGTGAGATGGGACAGGCTGGGTGCTTTCCTTCCTATGCTGAAAGCAAAGTGAGCTCCCATGGGGTGTTGTAGAAATCCTTCCTGGGGACCAGCAGGGCTCCTACCTTTGCTGATGTCCTCGTACTCCAGCCAGAGCTGCCGCTGGACCTGCCTGTTGGGATACCAGATGGAGCAGGACTCCTCAAAGCCATACACTGCCTCCTGGATGTAGTGGTTGCCAAACTGGTCCAGCAGTGCCACAAAATCTCCACGGGAGGTGGCCCCATCCAGGGAGTGGAGGGCATTGCTGAAGGCTGGGAAGGAGAAGAGATGGAGGAGATGCTCAGATCCCAGAGTACACCAAGCCCTTATCACCTCCCTACACACTTGTGATGGGCAACCGACCCCTGAGGCCATCACCTGCCAGCAGAAAGCTATGTATCCTCTTGCCACTCCTTTTTCCCCCATTCCCCACATGCTTACACTGGGAGATGGTCATCTGGTTGAGCCGGACGTGGTACATGACGGACTGCACCTTCCAGTGCTGCAAGAGAGGGTACCCGGACACCTCGCTGAAGTTCACCATCCCTGCCAGAGAAAGGACGTGGGGGCTCAGTGCCACTGCCCAGGGATGACTCTCCCTGGGAACGGTTGCACCCCTTCATACCTGGGGCAATGCAGCCAGCAGGGTGGGAAGAAGCCAGGGAAAAGGGTTGTTCACACACCATGGTCCCCCCAGGGAAGCATTCAGAGCTGAGGGTCAGCTGCTCCCCAGCAATTAAAATGATGGCTTTGAAGGAACACACGTAGGCTCGTTTCATCCTGCCGTCCGGGGCTCTGCGGCAGCAGATAACGAGCCTCCTCCTGCATCCCCTCCTGCTTCCTTCCCGGTGCCCGCTCCCAAGGCATGCCCAGGTGTGCTAATTATTTCACTAATGAGATCTGCGCTTTTTAATGAGCTGTTTGCAGGCCTGGGAACGGTCACCGTCACGCCACGTGTACCCGAGTGCAAACAGCCAAGGGGCCTGGGGTCCCTTTCGGCTGGGACTGAGCTGAGTGGGCACAGATGGACAGGGGAAATCTGCAGAGTTGATGCTGAGGTTCCCCCAGGACATTACAGCAATACTGGGGCTGGGCAGGACCCAGGGTTTGTCCTTCTCCAGGCAAAGCCACCTCATTCTTCAGCCATTTAACTGTGAGTTACAGAAGGCAGAAATTCATGGAGACCAGGGCTGGGCGGCCACTTACTCCTGCCCAAGGCATGTGGCAGCTCAGCTTCCATGAGCAGAGGGACAGAGAGGCCACTGAGCCTCAGACAGAGGCCCAGAAAGGGAACTGAAGGGTGCTCGTGGCTCTGACTTTGGTGACCTGGGTGTGGCACACGAGGATGCCGGGACACGGCCACCTCCTCCCTCGCAGCTCCGCTTGGCAGCAAAGCAGCAACTTTGCTGCTAAACAGGCACCCAGCAGGAGTTCAGGAGGATAACGGCGGGCATCCCCCCCTCTAACAAGAACTGAAGGCAGAGGATAAGCAGGATAAGATCCTTTGCCTTCCAGCGCCTCTCTCTCTTCAGTGCTGGCTGCTCCCGACAGCTTCAAAGCCTTGCTCTTTCCTGCAAAGTGTTTATGCAAAAACAGTCCTTCCTTACTCAGCAGCTCTGCCTCTCGTGTATTCACAGCGATATCCAGATCTGCTTCTGACAAGCAGAGAATATTTTACCTCTTTTCCTTTTTTTATTTTTTTGCCTTAATCAGCCACAAAGCCAGCAGAGCGGTGGGAAATGAATAGGATAATTTACTGGCTTCTGCCTCCCCAGCGTAATTGCCAGCAAAGTCCTGCTCCCACTGACACTGCTGATGATGCTGGGATTGTGGAGGCAGTGCCTTCCTTACATCCGTGTACCCATGTTACAGGCAAGAGAATCTCACTGGGATGCAGGTGTCCTCCAGCACCTCCGAACAGGGATGAGCATCCCCATGGAAGCAGGAGTGACCCACCCACACAGCTCTCTTGGGGTAGCTCAGCACCCAAGACCCAGTGGCACTCTCCCCTCTGCCTGAATCTGCCTGCACACACACCTACATTTCCATGCACCCTGTCAGGGCAAGCAGTGTCCATTAGACCCTGGGTGCAGCCCATGGGTGCTTCCCAAAATCCTGGAAGCTCTGCCAAACAAAGCAAAAGCACGAGGTCTTGGATGAGACCAAAACACCTCATTAACCATATCCTTTCCTTAGTGGCTCCTCAATGCCCTGAGCCATTTCAGCCAACAGCAACAAACACCAAGGAAACAAGGGCTATTTTAGGGGTTCTGGCAACTTGCTGGAAGAAAGGTAAATCCTTGAAGGCAGTCTAGGAATCCATGATAACCCTGTTGCTCGTGGCCCACAATGCTCTGGCAGAGCAAACCAAAACACTTCAATTTGGTGGCTTTGAATGTTTGTTACATGGGCAAAGAAATCAAATTAAAGGTAGCTGGAAAACTTTTTTTGCCTTGAAAAAGAAAAGAAAAAATGCTTTTTGCAAATGCCCCAAACATTCAATGGATGGTTGAGCTTTTACACCACACAATTAATTTACAGACTTTGCCTTTCCTTCATTTTTAATGCCTTTGTTTTACCACTGCTGCTGCTGCTGCTGCAGGTGAGCCTGGGATGCTAAAGCCTGACTAGATATATCCTCTAGGAGATGTATCTCCTGGGAGATTGAGGGGCTCTAGCTGGGCATGCTGGCAGCTGGGAGAGCTGTGGGGCTGGACCCACTCACCGGTGAGGAACTCGGGGTCAGGTGTGGGGTCAGAGAGCTCCTCTTGGCACTGGTTCTCCAAGGGCACCGTGGCCACCACCAGCCCATCTGGCAGCTGCTGCTCCAGGCCCCGGGCAAAGTTGTTCTGCCTGGAAGTTAATCACAGAGAGGAGGGCAGGGTTGGAGGACAGGAGAAATGCCTGGGATCATCCCTGCCAGCCGGTGACCCATCCCAAAAAAACACCTGGCATGAAGCCTTTCCTTCAGGCACAGATTACAGAGGTGTCTACCCTTGATGGAAAGCATCAGACGTGCTCTCCCCACCAGCCCTTCCATCTTCTGCAAAGTTTGACCAGACATGGATAGACCAGGCTCCTTACTATGCCTTCTTCTTGGAGAGGATGGTGAGGTCTGACCCTGCTGGGGTCACCTCCCCACCTCCCCAGCTCACCTGAACGTCCCTTTGAGCACCTGCCCTGGTGCCACCTCCTTGGAGTGGTTGTTGTAGCCGTAGAAGATCTCCCCAAAGAGCGTCTGGTTCATGGGCAGCTCGCGGGGCTCCCCGCAGTCCCCCGCCTCGGGGCACGACTCCGAGATGAGCTGGCACGACCTCCCGTCCGTGCCCAGCTTGTAGTCCTCAATGCACCTGGGAAGCCAGCACAGGGCCCACCATCAGCTGCAGCCCCCAACGGTGGCCACCAGGCCACCCCAGCAGAGACACTGGGAACAGAGGAGCCCCCCCTCCATGCCAACCCTAGGAGATCAGGGTGGCAGCAGCCAGGTACAGCAGCACCCTGTGGGTGCTGGGTCACTCACCCACAGAACATGAGGATGTTGTAGAGCAGGGGGTCTTCGGGCAGAGGGACCATCTGCTGCAGGCACAGCTGCTCGCAGCCCCCGTTGAAGCCATCGGAGCAGTCCACGCCGACGTGACGGTCGTAGCAGCCCGTGCCATCCTTCATGGGGCTCAGTCCCGTCGGGCACTGGCAGGGGTGGGGGAAGCAAGAGGTGAAACCCCCAGGGAAGAAATCTGGCCCTGGGGCTGAGGCAGAGGGGAGAGTTGCTCTCCATTGGACACTTCAGCAGGACACAGTGCTCGGAGGTTGCGGGGCAGACAGCAGCAACACCACCCACAGCTGCAGGTATTCCTCCTGCACCACAGCCTCTCTGCAGCCCTGGGGAGTGTATCCTCTGAAGTGGGAGCCCCCCAAGCCAGGCCCCACCAAAGTAATGTGCTGGCATCAACCCCACACACCAGCACAGAGCTCCAGTGACCACCAAAGCAACGCTGCCCTTTCCAAGCCCACTGTCTGCCCCACACTCACAGCCTCTCCATCCCAATGCCCAGCACTGGTGGCATCACAGCAGGGCACCCCGGCCCCACAAGCCCCTCCATTTTGGGGCAGAGCAGCTGTGGTGGTGACAGGGGACACACATGAGTGATGTGGGACCTCCCAGAGAGCCAACAAGCAGATGGACTCTCTCTCCCTCGTGTGTGCAACAAAGCAACAAAGGAGATGCCAACCCAAAAACATCTTCTTGCTACGAAATCAACCCCAAAATATCCGTCCCAAAGTGATGGTAAGGGAGGAAGGACTCCCTTTCTGCCCTCCCCCTCCTTGCTCACACCAAAGGAGATTCCAGGTCCCCGGGGGGCCACGCACCACACAGCCCGTGGAGTCCAGCTTGCGGTCCGAGATGCAGCGGAAGTTCTTGTTGCAGCCCCCGTTGTCCCGGGAGCAGTCACGGACAGGGCCGAAGGAGTCAAGGAGGACCTCCAGGCTGTCAAAGGAGGAGGAGGTCATCAGCTCTTCCCTGTGAGGAGGAGAAGGAGGAGATGTGTCACTGCTCCGATGAGACATCGTGAACGCGTGCACGACCGTGGCTGATGCGTGGGTTTTTCCAGAGCTCAGGTTTCCCTCGGGCTGACAGTGAACTGGATGGCAGCCAGGCTTTTAGAGGGATGCAGGAGCTACTGAGATGAGAGGTACCTCCAATAGCTCAACTTTACAGGTACCAAAGGGGGGCAGCTTAATGGATGTACTAATCTCCACCTGCAAAAACATGGGATGAGGATCTCAGCTCTGTTTGCTGAAACTCCTCCTAAACTCCATCATCCTGCCATTGCACCTACCTGACCTCCACTGCATCCTCCATCACTGTCATGTCCGTCTTACATTTGGCTGAGGGGTTGATGGCCAGCTCAGCTGGTGGGATGACGAAGCTCTTGCTCAGGGGCAGCCACATGCCTTCCCCCAGGGTATAGGTGAACCTGCCAGGGAGAGCAGCAAAGGCTGGCAAGGAGGGAAATGCTGAGCCTGGAGGGCTGTCTCTGCCCAAAACCAAGCCCTTGAACCTCCCCACTGCCCTGCAGGGATGCCAGCCTGAACAAAGGTGGATGGGCAGGCTAAAGAGGGGTGGCTTCTCCAAATGCACCCAAACGACCACCAAAAATCACATGCAACTTAGGTAATACATAAAAAAATAAAGGCACTTTCATTTTTTCAGTAGAAATCCTCCTGCAGAGCCTAAACCTCGCTCTCACTGTGAATAGAGAGGAGGAACTGACTGCTGGGCATCCAGCATCCCACACTTCCCAGCCATACTCGCATGTCCCCAGGAGGTGGCACAGGACAGCTGTGCTCAGCCCTGCCAGCTGGGGTACCTGCAAGCCTGTATGCCCTGGGTCATATTTTAAGCCCCAAAATGTGCTGACTGAGTTGCCTTTGCCACTTACCGAAAAATCTTGTCAGATGGCTGCTCGCCCAGCACCAAGTCAAAGCCACGCTGGAAAATGGTGTATGGCCAGGGCCTGGAAAAGAAAACCAGGAGCATCACACTGATATTGCGCCCCCACTGCTGCTCAGAGCCCAAAATGCTGTCCCTGCATAGCCCCCAGCACACACGCAGAGGGGTCCTGGCATAAAACGACTCAAACAAAGCCAGGACAATGGGATAAAACAGCCCCTGATTCAAGATCTTAATCTTGGGGTCCCTATAACATCAGATCCTCATGCCAGCCCCAACCTGCCAATGGTCCAGAAGTGTATTGCATCCATTATTTTGGAGTACAGTGCACTCCAGACATCCCCGCATCCCTGTGTGCCTGGTCCTGTTTTAGGGGTTTGCATCACAGCTATTGAACTGCTAAAAGAAACCCAACTGCAGCTGAACCCTCTCTCTGTGAGGCTTTTCCAAGGGAGCACGTCAGGTCCGAGTCCACAATTTCACCACCTGCCTTATTCCCCCTGGGTTTCATTGTTCCAGGAGAGGAACTGAGGACGCCTAACAAAGGGGATTGGAAGACAGGCTGGAAGCTTGGAGCCAAGGGGGCAGCCTAGAGAGCTGTTGGCCCCAACTACTCCCTCCCTGTTGTTGTAGATACACAGGGTGATGAGCCACCAAGATTTGGTGGCCAGTGCCCTTCAGTGGGACAACCATGGCCATGACACTTCTGGGACATGCACCCCCAGCATCACAGACCCACTTGCAGACCAAGGCTGACAAGAGACCCAGCTGTGGTGGACTTTGAATCAGGCAACATGAACCCAGCTCCCAAACCCTAAAACTCCCAATCCCCTTTGCAAGAGCTCAGAGCTGGGGAGAGAAAGAGATTTTTGCCATCCCATCGCATCGCTGCTGGTAAAATTCAGGGTGAGAGTATCGGGTGCCACCGACAAGCCCGGGGGTTTTCTCCAGAGGCAATTACAGTTTTCCTGCACAAGCACTTTAATTTCTAATCCGGGGTTACTTCAGCAGGGACAAAAATAATAATAACAAAAGAAAAAAATCCTGATTGCAGGATTACAGCGTGCCGTCTCGTTTCCTCGCTGGGATACAATGCCGCTTTCCCGGTCGGCCGGCTGGGAGCGGGGGATTACATTCAGCCCGCAGATCCGATTGCCCTGAATGAGGTCAGCCTCGTCCAGAAAGAGATGTGCTCCTTGTGTCTTCAGCAACACCTTGAACGCTTCACGCCTCCGCCTTCCAGCGCTCCCGCAGATGGGTTTTATTCTTGCTTCTGAGGAGCACGTGGGGCCGGGAACAAAAGCCAAGGCAAGGTATTGTTCCGCATCAACTCGGGCAGAAAAGCGGTTGTGAGGAGCTGCTCTTGGCTTGCAGCAGGGCTCAGCACTGGGGCAGGTGCTGCAGGGACACGGTGGCTGCTGCACCTCTGTCAGGTGACACACCTGGCAGCCCATGGAAGTCAAAACATCCAGGACACGCAGCCAGTGTGTCTGGGCCCACCTGGGAGATCAAAATCAGCAGCCATGCTGTGTCCACCCAGGGTGCAACTTCCAACTGTGGCTAAAATTCTTGAGGTAATGGAATCATAGAATGGTTTGGAAGGGATCTTAAAGATCATCTCATTGCAGCCCCCTGCCATGGGCAGGGACACCTTCCACTACACCAGGTTGCTCCAAATCCCATCTAACCTGTACTTGAACTCTTCCATGGATGGGGCAGCCACAGCTTCTCTGGGCAACCTGTGCCAGGGCCTCACCACCTTCACAGGAAAGAATTTCTTCCTGATGTGTCATCAAACCTGCCCTCTGTCAGTTTGAACCCATTCCCTCTTGTCCTATTCCTACCTACTCTTGCAAAATGCAATGATGGCTTTGAGATGGGGAAAAGGTTTCCATGCTCCAGAAAGGGACTGTGTGGCATCTCCCTAGCCTGCCCCACTCCGCCTTTACTTGGGGTCAAAAAAAGCCCATTAAAAATAATGTTCAGCCTTTAGTTACATGTCTACCTGGCAGGGGAGACCCAGTGTTGCCAGGCACCATTGGATCGGGGAGGACATGATACCTTCTGTGGGTAAGCCCTGAAAGGTCCTCCACACAAGAATTCCAGCTCAACAGGAGACACTTATCCATCCTCATCTCTGAGGAAGCTCTCCAGGAGCTCAGTGCTGACATTTCCACCCACACACGCTTTTGTTGACTTGTACCTTCTGTTGCAGAGGATGGGGTGGCATGTGCTCTCCCAGGCACACCTCACCCCCTCCATTTCCGCCTCTTGCCCCCTGTGCCTCTGCTGCTGTTTCACCTCCTCCTTCCTCTCCCATGCACGTGAGTGTGTCCCCACGTGCCTGTCTCCCTCCCTGCTTTCTGTGATCACTTGCTTGGTTTTCGTTGTTCTTGGTGGGTATTTTGGTTGTGTGGTCTTCAGAGCTCACAGGGGAAAGTGGGACTGATCAGCAGCCCTGCAGATGATCAGGTTGGATTAAACAGGCCAGAAACTACAGCTCTTGTCCCCCTGGCAAGCCTTGGCATTCAGGCAGGCACCTGAAACAACAAAACCCGGGGCAGCTGAGAACCAGAAACTCCCCATGCTCAGTCAGCAAGTTCCCGTGGCCAAAGCGCTGCCTGTGCATCCCCAAGACAATTTTCAGGCCTCTTGGTTTTTTCCAGATGGACCCTCAGCTATGCTTTGCTCCATATCTGGGCTTGAGTGGAAGCTCAAGAAATTCTGGCTAAGCCTTCCAAACCTGTTGCTGCTGGTGATGCTTTGAACCACCTCAACAGGCCCCTGGCCACGCTCAAATTGCAGTCCCAAGGGGCCAAGGCCAGACTGACTTCTAGCATCGAGAACTGTGCTCCTGCTTGTTTGTGCTCCCTGTAAAATCCTTCCAGAGAAGATGGGTAGGATGGAGAATTAAAGCCTGGCACTGGCAGGATGTGACTGCCATGAGCTAACCTGGAGCAGCTGGTTGGAGGGGAGCTGTCAGGAGGTCGGAGGGGCTGCAGGAGAGGGTCTTTGCAGAAGGTACAAGTCGCTGCACGTGAGCGTGGCTGAAATGCCACTGGAGGAGAAGGTGGTTGGCTGTCACACACTGAAATAGGTGACTACACATTTGGCTCCCTCACCCTCTGTACTCCTGGGGGTTTCCAACCAGGGCCATGCCAAACCCTATCACAGCACCTAAGCACCAGCTCCAAGTGTGTGCTGGGAGAGAGTGCCATGGACAAAATGGTCCCCCACATCCCTTCATTGGCAGCTCAGGAGTTCAAGCCCAGGGAGAACAGACCAGAGCATCCCCACAGCTGCTGCACCCCTCCTGCACACCAGACCCCAAAGGGGGGACCCATGAAGACCCAACACCACCCTGGTGGGGGAAGAGCAGAGAGCAGATGTGACACAAGCTGCCCACTTCTCCCACCGGTGATGCCTGTTGTGGCTCCTCCCCAACTTCACTTTGCTTTGCAACAGCTTTGCTTGGGCTTCAGCTGCCGATGCTTCTCCCCTTCCGAGCTCCCCACCCCCTGCCATCCCTTGCAAGCAGGGCTTTATTAAAAATGCTAATGCCGGCACTTTCTCCCTGGGCTGCCCATAAATCTGCGAGGAGAATGAGGCGGGAGGAGGAGGCGGATGGGTGGTTTGGTGAAAGGATCTGAAAGAAAGAGGAGCTTTTTATCTGGCTGTCCTTCAAGCTTGCAAAGCCGAGGCACACAGCAGGGAATGGAGAGAGGCAAAAAAAAAAAAAAAGAGAGAGAGAGAAAAAGAGGTGGGGGAAAAAAAAAGAGAAAAAGAGGAAGACTTTAAGCAGGAAAAGTGCTGTCCTTGTCACTTCAGTGTGTCCCTGGCTCCTCTGTGGGGTGGGGAGTGGATGATGTGTGGGGATGGGACAAGAGGAGCAGGTGCATGGGCAGGAAGGGGGATAACTGTGTGCAGAAGAGAAGCAGCATCGTGGGGAGGGAGGAGCAGGGGAGGGGAGGTGGGTTGGCAGGACATGGGCTACTGCACTAATTTGTGTCCTGTGCTGGAGAAAACATCTGCAAGGGGGCAGAAAGAGGTAACTTGTCCTGCATGGGAGCAGGGCTGGTGTAGCCCAGTTTGCCAAGTGCTACCAGAGGATGAAAGCACCCAGCCAGATGCATTTGCCTTATAACATTAAACTGGCCTAAAACCTCCCCATGCCAGGCTGAACCCATTAGGAGTTGAAAGAGCACACTGATAAAGACCCTTTAAATGCAGAGCATCTTAAATCTCATCGAGGGAGTCTGAAAAGGGCACCCAGGCAAGAACTGCAGGTGGACAGGGAAAACCATCCATGATGGATCTAAAGGCTGGGATAAATAAGTACAAATGTGGGCAGATAACAGTTTATTAACTAAAGGTAGAATGAGCTGATTTGATCTTTGGCCAAGTCATACCACAAAAAGAACCACAGAAAATGGGTTTGATGAGCAAAGATGAGGCAGACCTGGTTGGATTGCTGGAAACTGCATCCTACTTGGGAAACATTAGAGTAAGAGCCGAAAAGCAGCTAATTAACAATGCATATCAAAGTAGGGAGACAGACTGTGAACACACAAACAGCACCAGACAGATTTGTTTAAAACAGCTGAAGAGCAGCACAGGAAAAAAAAAAAAAAGGAAGGCAGCTGATCAAATGTATCTGCTACCCATGATCAAAAAGATCTGATTTTTTGAAAAATGGATGAAGATTTAGGGTCTGGATGTGCTGGGTAAGAGAGGCACCGCGGAGGCGTGGAACTCAGTCTGGTACCCAAAATACACACACCACACAAAGCCTCTCCCTGCCATTGCCAATAAAGCACAAAGATGAGCTCGCCTTCATGAGCAAAATTAGATGCTGCTGAGGGAACAGAGACCCAGTCGACTTGTCATCACTGTAAATAAAAACAAACCAACGGCAAAACTGTCTAAACCACAGGGTTGAAATGAGTTTTCAGATAAAAAAGCCACCCTGGGAAAACGGAGGAGGTCATAACCAGAACATGTCGCTCCCAAGCACGCCGAGGGATTTGGCAAAGCCTCCCAAGTCCTGCTTTGTTGACCAAGAGCCAACGTGGCTTCTCCAGGGACTGACCTGCGGCAGCAGCACATCACTCCAACACTGGAGGGTTTAGGAGCACATCAGACAAAACAGTGTCAGAAATTATTCAGGCATCTTGGGATGGGGGGAGAGAGCAGAAGACTTCCAGACATCTCCTTCAGGTGAACCTGCAGGCAACCTTTTTGGGTTAGAGTTGGGAATGAGCTGATGAGTGTGACAAAGACAGCATGGTAGCTCAACCTCCACCCCAAAAAACATAAATTCCAGCTTAAAGTTACAAGTTATTCAGTTAAACAGGCTCTGACAAGATGGTTCTGCTGGACTAAAGAGAGTTCATCACAGTCATGACCCCGTGGAGGCCAAGAGTTCACGGGGGACACCATGGACAGGTAGAAGGGATCTCAGCATCACAAGCCCTTGCAGGCAGAGCTGCACCAAGCAGCACCTGGACATCAGAACAGACTGCAGAGAAGGAAAAGAACGCTCATTAAACACCAAGCTACCCCAAGCATCACGATGCTTAGTGTGGACATGCTTTCCACAGCCCCTAAAAATAGTGAAAGCTGCAGGCAGGGATGGTGAAGTGTGGTCTCAGCTGCTACCATTTTCTGAAACAAAAACCTGACAAGTTCAAGGAAGAAACACAAAATAACCCCAGTTTCAAGCAGCTCAAGAGAGGAGCTCTCTAAGGATGGTGTTGAAAAAGCCCCAACACTGCAGCATCAGAGCCTTCTTGAGAGCTCAGAGAAGGGCAGGAGGACTTTGACAGCCTCACCATTGTCTGGGGCTGTGTTGCACCTTGGGGAAAAAGAGATCTGCCAAGTTTCTCTGCCCCAAACAGAAAACTATGCTGGAAATACTGCACATAATTTGTCATAGCCAACTTTGGTATATAAGAAGAGACACAAGACAAGCTGTATCCTGGCCAGGTATGAACACTGTTGCAGGAGAAAAGGTTCAGGCATAGCATGGAGAAGGCTCCTGTGGGAGCACTGAGTTGGAGCTGGGTCTGAAAAGCAGCCCCAAATTCCCCAGAGGAACAGAGTGGGTCCTGAGCACCTTTTGGTTTGGCATGGCTGAGACCAAAGCTGGTCTGAAGCTGTGAATGGGTCCAGAGGGCTTCAGGAATGGATTTGCCTTTCCTGCCCTTGGCTTCTCTCCTGCTTGTTAGCACCTGTATTTTCTAGCAATCCACCTGAAAGCAGCTTTTTCTCCACTTTCCCTTAAGATGGTGAAGCAGCTAAATCAGGAAAAAGCTAGAGAAGAGCAATGTGCACGGGAGGAAAAGTGTGAAGCTGCAGATCCACACCCAGGAGCAAAGGAAAAGTAGAGGGGAAGGCAGCAAATGTTTCTCCACACTGCTTATCCATTTTTATTACCTGCCTCAGTGGACAGAGTCATTTGCCACTTTGCTTTTTGCAAGGTGGTGAGTCCAGCACAGACAGAGGCAGAGGCTGGCACCAAAGCCATTGTGGTCATTGGTGGCCATGGGCTCTTTCCAACCCACCATGAGACACTCCCAAACACAACACATCCTAAAACAGGGAAATCCCTGGCAGGGGGATACCCCCTCCCACACCCCAGACCCCATCACTCAGTGCCTCTTATGAGATGGGCACAGAGGATCTGGGAACATCCCTGTTGGACAACTGTCCTCTCGGGACAAGCAGGACAGGGAGCTGTATTTCTGCCTGTACTTTCCCAAGCCAGCAGTGGTACCTTGAAGAGGTTTTGGGGACATTCACCACAGCACACAGCACGTCCCCAGCACGGGACCGCCTGTGTCCCGAGCCTCGCCCTGGCTCAGGGCACTCACAGCAACAACCGCCCTTGTCTCACACAGCGGGTGCTCCGCACTGGGCTTAATTGCTAAATTGCCTTTAAAATGATAAAAAAACAGAGAGTGGGGGTGGAGACAGAGCAGGGATGCTCTCCCCGGGCCCCAGTTCAAAGGGACAGAGCCGGGGCCAGCTGGCACAGACAGCCCCCCGCCGCTGCCATCCTCCAGCGCAGCCGCACCGCGGGGGTGCCGCCAAGCCCAGCCTTTGATGATTTTTCCCTTCCCACTGTGAAGACTAATAACTTCAGAGAGGGCATCCTGACATGGGCAGGGCCACCGCCGATCCAGCTGCAGCACAGTGAGACAAGGGGGGAAAACGAGGGCTTGGAGGTGCCGGGGCACATGGGATCTCCGGATTTGAGGGTGTTTTGGGTTTCTGCACACTACCTCCAGCCATCCCCGGGAGGCCCCAGCTGCATGACAGAGACCCATGAGTGTTAAGGACCACCAAATTGCTGCCAAAGCATCAGAAAAAACTTCCCTTGGCACTTCCAGGGGTTTAAAGCTGTGGAGCAGATGGTGACTGCTCTGTTCCCTCAGCTATGGTATCAAAGCATCTCATTTGCCCAGTTTTAAGTGAGGACCCCAGCCCGACCTCAGCTGTCCTCTGATGCCTCACACAGCCAAACCAAAAGCCCCACAAAGTGCAGGATGCCAAGGAGAGTCTTCACACAGGGAGGAGGAACAATCTCCATCTTCTCCAGGGGGTGTTTACTGTAAAACACCACAATGGCCTCTTCTACATCATTTCTGATTATTTCAAAGGATAGAAATCCTCGCCTCCCGCAGACCTGCTGCAGAGCCCAGCCGTGCACTGACCTTACAATTCACCAAGATGCCTATAACTCTTTCATCCAAGAAGTTTACCACAGCCCTCCTGTGCTGATGCTGAAGCCCAGCAGCTTGTGTGAGGGCAGCCCAAGCCCAGGCGTGCTGTGGAAGGCACACTCACCCCTGGTTCGTTCCCCACTCATTCCGGATGCAGAGGTGCTTGTGCACAGGGTCCTTCATGTACCCTTCATAGCAGAGACACTCACCTACAGAGAAAGGGGGGGACATGAGGGACATGGGAGGACAAGGCTTTCCATGCAGCCACCCCAGGGCACCTGGCAGCTCTGTTATTGCCCAGGGAGCAAGGCAAGGAAGCATCTTCCCGTCAGAGCTGGGCTGGGGAGGCAGAGGTGAGCCCCCAAACCCACCTCAACCGCTGGACCACCTACCAGTCTCGGGGTCACACTGGTGCTCACAGGGGTCGAGGAGGCGCCGGGCACAGAGGTCCAGGGCCCAGGGCCCGCTGGAGTTTTGCTGGGAGAAGAGGACGACCTGGGCTGGGTTCAGCCAGTCGCTGGCATCCAGCTGGCTCCCCTCCAGCAGGATGAACCGGCTCCCTGGCACCGAGACAAGGGCAGTCAGCAGGGCAACCTGATGCTGTCCCCTCCATCCCATGGTTGTCCCCTGCATCCCTTAATGGACCCCTCCATCCCGTGATGTTTCCCCCCATCCTGTGATCGATCCCTGCATCTGCTGCCCATTCCCTCCAGCTTGACACAGTGCTCTCTGTCCCACAGCAGCCTTCTCTGTTCCACAATGGATCCTCTGTCCTGTGCCCATCCTCTCTGCCCCATGACAGTCCCCTCTATCCCATATCTGTCTCCTCCATCCCATGACAGTTCCCTTCATCCTGTGCCTGTCCCCTCTGTCTCACAACAGCCACCCCTATCCTATAACCATCCCCTCAGTCCCATTTCTGATTCCTCCATCCCACAACAGTCTGCTTGGTCCCAGGCCCATCCTCTCCATTCTGCACCATGCCCTGTGTCCCACAACAGCCATCTCCATCCTGTCTCTGTCTCTTCTGTCCCATGCCTATCCCCTCCATCCTGTACCCCTCCATCCCTTGTTCCCACACTGGTATCCTCCATCTCACACCTGTCCCCTTTGTCAAGGACCCATCCCCTCCACCCCATAACAACCACCTCTGTCCTCTACCCATCCCCTCTGCCCTGCGCCCATCCCCTCAATCCCATGCCCATCCCCTCTCTCCCACACTGGTGCTCTTCATCCAGCCCGTCCCCTCTGTCCTGCACCCATCCTGCACCCGTCCTCTCCACATTCCCTCCTCTCCTCCATCACACCTCACAGAATGGGGCAGGAAGGGGTGGGTGAGACTGTGGGATGCTCACCATCAGCGATGAGGTGCTCAGGGACATGGAGGGTGATCTTGACAACAAGGGGGCAGTTCATGTGGGAAGAGCACACCAGGCTGATGACACAGCTCGTCACACTGATGAGGGTCAGGGTGGTCTTGTTCACAGGGCTCCGGGGGGACCCCACTGCAAAACATGGAAGCACAGTCAAACCTGACACCTGCAGGACCCAGGAAGACTTTGGGGTGCAGCCAGGGGACCTCAGGGTGCAGAGATCCTGCCCAGCCCCCTGAAAATCCAGCATCAATCCAACCAAATGGAGCCACTTTGGATTTTGAAGAGCATGAAGCAGCCCTTGCAATGGGACCCTCCCTCCCGCCTGCTGCAGTTGGGGTCTTCCTGATCCCCCTCAGCCCGAGCTCTCCCACACCCTGCACTGCAGCAGGCTGAGAACTTTGCAGTAGTAGAGCTTTAAAGCAGAGCTGAGATACTGAGGAAAAGAAAGGTAAATGCAGTGTCCTGGCTTTTTCCCCTCCTTGGCACTTCACTCGAGTTAATTTTGTCATGACAACAGGCCCGTGGATGCTTTTGTAAAAGTACTGGAGAGCCCTAACTGCTCAGGGCGTGCAGGTCTTTGACTTTTAAACTCTCAGCTGAAGAAGCTGAGTGGAAAAAAACTGTATGGAGACAAAGCCTGAACGAGCCTCTCAGCACCAGCTGAAGGAGATGGATCCCAGTCCCACCGCTCCCAGGAAAACAAGGCATCATCCAGCAAACGAGGCTCGACGGGGGAAAACAGACACTAACTCTCCTCCTGGGAGGAGAAAACCTCCTGAAGGGACAGTGCAGGGCAGTGGGGCAAGACTCCTGCCGAGGGACTGAGGCTGTCCCCATGCTCTGCTGCACATACAGCTCGTGTGTGCACGGCGCCGGAGCGAACCCGCGGCAGCTCCGTGCTGAGCAGCAGCCGGGGAACGCACGGGCCGGCCTTTGAAGCGTGTTACTTATTAATATACACCAGTGCCCGGCAGAAGCCTCCAGCAAAACATCAGAATATATTTCATCCTCTGCTGAGAAGCTCCACCGGAGAGCAGCAGCAGCCCGCTGCGGAGCGGGGACCGGCACCTGCCTGCGGCAGCTGGGATTGCACCTGGGTTTCCATCTCTTGCCAGTGGAAAGTCTCCAAACGCAGAGAAGCAACAGCAAATATGGCAAGAGAGGTCACGGCTCCCCACCCACCTCGGCTGCGCCTCCGGCTCCGCGAGGGGTCTGTGTAGAAGGTCAGCTGGGGATCGGTGTCCGCCTCTGTCCCTGAGTCCCCCTCGGGGTTGAGAAATGCTGAGCCAGCTGCAGGGGACACTGAGTGTAGTCATGGAGGGGTTGGCACCGTGCCACCCCAAGCCTTGGCATCCTACATAACCCTTCAGGGAAAGCCTTACCCTGAGGAGCCCCATCTGCCAGGTGCGGCAGGGACAGCATCTTCTCCCCTTCCCACCTCACACACCCGTGCCCCCACCTGCCACACGTCCCATTACCTTACACCTTTTCCCCGTGGCTGTGCCAGTACCCTGAAATATTTACCATGGCAGACACCCTCTGCATCTTTGCAACCAAGCACCCCAACAGGACTTGCATCCTTGCAGGCACCACATTTGCTGTGTCTCCCCACCCAGACCCTCCTTTCCACGCTCTCGCCCGACGCTGATCCTATTTATCCATCCCAGGAGAGGGTGAGTTGTTGGAATGTGGGTGGGTGGAAGCCCAGAGCACCCCACCCACCCCGGGGACCCCCCTACCTCGCGCTTTGTTGTTGATGCGCTTGCGCTGGCTGCTGGAGGTGTGGGACAGCAGCGTGGCCTGCTGGTGGTTCGAGTCCACGGGGCTGGTGGCAATGATGTTGTCCTTGTACTTGTTCATCAGGGACAGCTTGGCATTATCACTCCCTGAGCAGGAAGAATTGAAGGCAAAATCTCTCAGGATAAAGATTTTAAAACAGGGAGGGAGGTGAGAGAAAGGTTTCCTTGGGTCCCTCTCCAGATCATCCTGAGGTGATCAGGGTGCTGCTGCCAATGAGCTGAGCTGCCCCCAATGCACCCTCAGGAGCAACTCAAATACTGAAGGGGACTGGCACCTCACCAAACTAGCCAAAAGCTGAGCTCTAACACTAAGCCTCTCAGGGCACTTCTTCATAACCAAATCTGCAAAGCTTTAAGCACCACACTATGGTCTTCCCAAACCATGTCTCAGCTGAGAAGGCTCCAGATGGATGGCCCAGTTAGTACTATGGCCAAAGAACAAGTGTGTAACAAGCCTCAAAGAATCCCTGCTGGTGCTCAGAAGGTGGCATTAACTCTGAATCACACTGATGGCATGTATAATTTTGCTACTCAAAACCTAAGCTGAAAAAGACAGTGGAAATCCTGGGATACAGAAGGGATTTTAGGGGGTCACTATGGGGAGCTCAGAAGCCACAGTGTTCTGGTTCTGGTTCTTCATCAAGCCACAGGAACCACAGTCCTTTCCCTCAAAGCTCCAGCTCAGCAGGGACTGCTCTCAATGGGCTGCAAGGCCTCCCAGCAGTGGAAGTGCCTCCTGAGGGGCACCAACATCTCACACCCAACGAAAACCCAACGAGAAACAGGGAAAACGCTCG